TGTTGATTTTATTTACATGCCGTGGATTGTAACATAAGCAACCAACTGTGGAAATTGACATTAACGATAGTTATATTTGATTATCCTTTTCAACAATCATAAGTATGTGAAGGCTTGGCAAACAACTGAATAAAGTGCAGAGTGGAGCCATCATTTTATGTTTAGGAAAAAAGGAGGAATGGAAAGGGTATCATTGTACTAACAAACACACCAGCAGATACCTTCATGTTCAGTGTGCAGCATGGCATAGGTTCAGGTATTGATGTTTTCTTATTCTGGAATTCATCTCGCCTAACATGCAGTATGTAAGAGAAATCTCCCAACTGATACATGAGTTTATTACGTGTCCATTCCAACAATTACCTTGCCTCCCAATGTTTGAAATTTAGCTTGAAAGTTAAGGGGTCCATGTCATAACCCTAATGTTGAACGTAAGAGATTGAGGGAGTTAAGTGTTTAAATACATGTACTATAGGAGCAAACATCAAGGACCCCAGTCCTACCTTAATTTCAAACAGCTTGTGTTAAACACCAACATTCTTTAACACACACATAATGCATGCAGAGAAAAGTTATTGTTCTGTTACTTCCACATGTTCACTTGTTTTTCAGACTCTACAAGGGTCTTGTGCCACTGTGGGCCCGACAGATCCCATACACCATGATGAAGTTTGCCTGCTTTGAACGTACAGTAGAAGCTCTGTACAAGTATGTCGTTCCTAGACCAAGAGCTGAATGCTCCAAGAGTGAACAGCTTATTGTGACATTTGCTGCCGGTTATATTGGTAAGCTACTTTTTATTTTAAATACCACATTTCTAAATTGGAAAATGAATACCCTGATTATGTGGGAATAATCATGCTAATTGTGTGATGGATGTTGATAAGTTAACTTCTTTGTTGACATGTTTTCCCCTACTGTAGTGTTCTTAATGTTTTTCAGCTGGTGTTTTCTGTGCCATTGTTTCTCACCCCGCTGACACAATTGTGTCAAAGCTGAATCAGGATGCAGGTAGCAACTTTGTTGATGCAGCAAAGAAACTTGGATTGGGAGGTATGTCGTTTGTTTATCAGCTTATGCAGGTTAGAACTGAACTTAAAAGCTTCACTAGCTTGGGTAAAGATAAATGCCCTTGTAATGTTAAAACAATTTGAACATTTGTACTAGCCCACAGGAATTTGTAGTAGCCCTGGTTCCAGGCTGGTGTTAATCTCTAACCCTGGGCTAAGTCAGGGTTAAAACTAAGCTCAAATGCTTTACTAGCTCGGGTAAAATGCCCTTGTAATGTTAAAACAATAGGGGAATTTGGAAGTTTGTACTAACTTTCTTTGTGTGGTGATTCAGGGACAGAATAGGTTCACAGTACCATGAGTGTAAGAAACTAAGGATTGGGTCATTGTTCCATGGTGTAAGCATTGCTACTCATGCTATTAGCCACTGCCATGCAACTTATTAATGTATTATTGACAATTTTACTTTTCTGCTGCAGGTCATACAACTATGATTGACTATATACATGAGATAGTTTAATTAAATCTTGAATGTTTTGAAATGATTAAAAGTTAAAAAATTAAAACTCAAGCTGAATTTGCACACTCCTTAGATCCACTCTCGGGGCAGTGTACTACAGGCTCGTGTGTAGTGTCGGACCCAGCAACCTTGTGTTGTACAGTCGAGAGTGCTTGAGTCATTGGTGTGCTAGATCAGTATACCTGACATGGCAGACTTTGGATCTGGACTGTGCCGACAGTCATGTCGGTTTGTGCCACGATCAGGCTGTCACTTCGGACACATCAAGTGTTTATACGTCAGTATCTAAATAAAACATTTGGAAAGTAACTTACATTTTTAGTTTTAACTAAGATATAGTATTACAAATTACAAAGGTTATACATACAGTCAACCCCTTCCTCTAAGAATATAGTTTACAAACACCAGATCAGTGACGGTTGTGTAGATGAGATTCAAATTTGTAAATGCAAGTTTTATTTCTGAAGTAATGGCAGGCAAATATCATTATCAAGTAGTGTAGTTTTGACTGACATGCCATAATGTTTATCAGATATTTTTGTGACACTGTTTTATTCACACTGATCAATGCTGTTTTGTCAGGTATGTGGAAGGGCCTGTTCCCCAGAATCATCATGATCGGCACACTGACAGCCCTGCAGTGGTTCATCTACGACTCTGTCAAGGTGTACTTCCGTTTGCCACGACCACCACCACCAGAGATGCCAGAATCACTGAAACGTAAGCTGGGCATTACCCAGTGATGATGGCTGCAATTTAGAATGAGAGCTTGGACATTTAGAAGATCTGTTTACTGAACACACAATAGATACATATTGATAATGCCGTTGTTTTGTATTTGCCAAGATGGAAAATATTTATTCCATGTCTTGATCTTCAAAAATGTTTTGTTGTTAATCTACTTCATGGCTTTAACTGATTTTGGTCATGACTTTGGTCATCTGAGTATGTGTGCCATTTGAAGGGGAACCTGATAAAGCCATCTTGACACTATGTACAATACAGTGTGAATATTTATGAGGAATCATCTAGCATCGCAATGCAAGAGTGAATAAAAAATATTAAACCTTGGACACTTTTGTTTTCTGTGTGTTGGAATGTGACATCTCAAGACGTCACAGTTCAATAAGCATGTTATGTTGAGACACATGCCCTATCTGTGGGGAATAATGCCAAGTTATATACCGGTAACCCAAGCAGTTACAGGGAGTACTTCCAACTGGTTACAGCAGGGTCTGTAAAGTACCGGGGTATGCTTCTCCACTTTCGAAGGGATACTTTTATCTGTCCATGATACACAAAACTGATTCTCGTGTCAAGTGTTTATTGAAGTAGAGTGATGCCTGATTATCCCTATCAAGCTTAGTAGTATATTTTACAGTTTCAGAATCAAATCAATGACCTGGTTGAATTTGGTTAGAACATTGGACATTCTTTGAATCAATTGTCAACCCATTTCTTACACTAGCCAAATTCAGACGCTGTAATTCAGAATGGTCTGCACAAGGTATGAAATATTACTTTTTCTATCAATACTAAAGGTAGACACAATTTTATGGATAAGATAAGCATAAAGTGTGTCTACCTTGTCATCTGTCAACTTCTAAGTAATGCCTATCAAACAATTTATCAATACTAAAATTATTCAATATTAGTTCCAAACTTCAGTGGAATCAAAACCATTCACACTTACTCACTTGATGGGTAGCCCAGTGATTGTTAGCTTGTCATGCCCGGTGTTGATCATCACATGGGTACCATTTATGGTGTCCAATGCCTCGATATTGCTGCAATATTGTTTAAAATGGTGTAAAACTCCCTCCCACCAGGTTTTTATTGTTTCCACATCAGTAGTGTTAAAAGGCGACTGCTTGTTGTAAGAGGCGACTGATGGGATCGGGTGGTCAGGCCCGCTGACTTGGTTGATGCATGTCATCGATCCCAATTGTGTGGATCGATGCTCGTGATATCAATCACTGGATTGTCTGGTCCAGACTCGATTATTTACAGACTGCCGTCATAAAGCTGGAATATTGCTGAGTGCGGCATTTTACAACCAACAAACAAACATATGGTTATCTTCTCGAGAAGCTGAGTTATGGATTTTCCTTTCATATGACTAGACTAACAAAGTTGGAAAGTTAGTTTGATGAAAACTCTTGGACAGAATAGTTCCTCAGTACCACAGGCTTGCCTTAAGTAAGGGTACCCTCTGGCGATTCCAGGTCAGAGAGGTCCCCCGTACCTTGTGTCAAGGTATATGGGGATTAGGAAGTCAGACTTGCTTTGCCTGTGGGGATTCTTTGTTAGTTGGCCCTCAGCAACATATGCTGGTCGGAAGAGGCAACTTATTTGGTGGTATGGCTTGGTGAGTGGGATCATTGCTCATTTTGTTTTTAATGATATTTATTTCCACCTGGTACAGTGAAAGGGGATTGATAAACGGGCAGAACCTATATAAATATTGCTCATATCATTGGATTGTCTTGCCCAGACTCAAATATTTATAGTCTGCTGGAATTAAGCTGAGTTTCATTTTAACACAAGACAAACATACACACACCATTATATTACTCGCTTCAACAGACTACAGTATCAGTCTACCAATAGTACCGCCTCCGTGGTCTAGTGATAGAGCGTCCGCCCAGAGAGCGGAAGGTCCGGAGTTCGATCCCCGGTCGCGTCATACCAAAAGACGTTAAAAGATGGTACTTGTTACCGTCTGGCGCTCGACATTAAGGGGCTAAAACACACACGTCGCTATATAAGTGCAATAATCTTGGACGCGACGTTAAACCCCATTCCACCTCACCTACCAATAGTTAAGAAATGTCTCATTACACAAACAAGTCCTTTAGTTTGGAAGCCAAATACAGTCAAGTCTTGTTAATCCGCACGTTGGGTTTATCCGACACCAATGATGGGAACCGACTAAATCAGTGCTATTTAGACCCGCACTCCAACTACCTCAATCTCATTAAAATCAGATACAAGTTCTCACTATCACCGAGAACATCCTAATGATCTTTGCGAAAACAAGCTGAGATGCCATTATCCATTAGAGCTTGATGGCCTGCTGATATCTATGAAGTTGTACTATGAGCCTCTCTGGAGATTCCAGGGCAGGAGAGCATCTCTAGCACCTCATTTATAGTGAGTGAGTGAGTATGGTTTTACGCCGCTTTTAGCAATATTCCATCAATATCACGGCGGGGAAGCACCTCATTTATAGAGCAGACTGAAATTAGGACCGTCTTGTATTTCAACGTCCCTGTTGTTGCCCTCAGTTGCTGTGGTACCTGGCCTAGACTCAATTATCTGCAGGCAGCTACGACGCAACTTGAATATTCACTCACTCACTCATTCGATGTAAGTCAAGTCCTGTTAACAATGATCAACTTTGTTCTCATGGAACATGTTTGGAAGTTGGTCTTGTACAGGTTTTCAAATTATCAACACAACCAGTATAATATCAGAAATAGAAGTTTATTGACTTGTGATATAAAAATTACAAAATGGTGTAAGTCTGCTTTGGATATTCTACTTTTGATCACTACATGTCATTGGTTTGATGCAGTTGAGCAGTTGTCTCCCCTGGAAGGGAGGTGACTGGTCGACCTGAATAGTAAGGGAATTATGCAAGTAATAACTGAGACAACTTGTAAATGAACATGACAGACAAGCCACTGTTCATGACTAATATCAAAATACCAGCACGTACGACAAAATCCCAAACAGATGACAATATCCTTGCTACCCAAATAAACTTTTTGAAGATGACTGATTTGGGATTAGAATTGGTCATATCTGCTCCTTATTTGAAAAGTGTTCTTGCACAATTGGATACTTTTTGGCACTAAGATGCTTAGGGGCAGATGATACAGCTAATTCTATCTTGTATCTCGTAGACTGATAAAAACTTATGTACTGGTACAAATAACTTCACCTTTGGAAGTACCCAACAAACGAATCATTGAGTAAGGTGTTAATTTTACCTTGCATAAATATCCTTGAATATCAAATTGAAACTTCAGATCTTACATGAAAAATATAATAACCAATGCCCTAAAATACATATGTATCACTAACTGATCAAAGATCGCTTGGAGCCTGGTCAGAGAAAGTAACAGACAGCAGCATGAATATTGATATTCTACTTTTATATAAGTGAAATGCCTACTTGTCTAGTGTATTCTACATGGCATAAATATACACGCTGTACAGAGTATTGGTTCACACAGCACCATGGTAGTTTTTTTGCCAGCTGGGTTACCTCCCTTGCCTAGAAAACCCTGGATATCTCCCTTGCCTAGGCAGATAACGCCATATCTAAATTATCATGAATAACCAAAATGTAACAGTGATGGCATTTATATATAGGTGAAGATATTACAACATTTTAACCAATCATCAAGTCAAACTTGAAACAAATCCTGTATAAAAAATAGTTTTGGCACTTGTCTCTAAACTTGAAAATCAGACACCTCTTGAAAATTGATTTAGCTTGTGGTAAAAAATTTAATAATATACCAGCATTTACTTGTGAAAACTGTATCCCAGACATTTTCACCTGTAAGATATGCGGTAGCCTTATACAGGTAAACTTAATGTAAGGCATGGTTGATAGACCAGCTGGCAGGAAAGGAAGTAATTTGAACTTGTTCTTAACGACTGAATGATACTTGCTAATGAATATAATCAGATCATTGTCATAGCTGAGCAAAGTGAATCATGATTTTTTTTTTACTTTTTCATATGAAATACATGATCATATCAAAATACATCTACCATTAACATTAAAATGTTTATCTAAAATATCTCAGATCATTCTAAAAAAATATGTTTACATCAATTGGCAAAAATTCATGGTCGAGCGATTAACCTTAAAAAAGATCACGGATGAAAATTGCCATTATCAAAACTGATTAAAAACAGACACGTCTACAGGACTGGGTAGGTATGTACAATACAAAAATACAATTTCACATACAAAGATATAAAATGGAGTAAAATCACATGATATCAAACATTAAATATAGTACAGAGACCAGCGGACGATTGCATGCAGGGAATCTAGTCTACAGTAGGAGTGGAAGGGAGGCAACTCTTTCTTCCCTCACAGAAACAAAGATTGTCCCATACTGACTGAAGCACTGCTATTGGCAAAACAAGGACGATGGTTGTCCAGGGTAATGCTGCAAGCCTGATGAAGACAATCCAATCCTTGTATTGTTCCTTAGGGCTGCATCTACTTGAGAGATGACACCCTGTTAGTCAGCTAGTGGGTAACAAGCATGGCTTACGAGAAACTGAGTGACACGGATTGATAAATGATACAATTAACAGTTACGATAATATTTTGATTTCTCTTGTATTTTGTCCAGGTACTCCTGCATACGTCTATTCAGCTCGTCAATCATGTCTGACAGCTCGTTCAGTGTCTTGTTATTGTCCTCAAAATCTTGCTGCATTCCTGGAAACAAGAGGAATACCTAATTATGTAGAGGAAATAAATGGCATGACAAAAGGAATTGGTTCTCAGGCAATGTTTTTGAAAATATTGAGCGGGCGGGCGTCTTCCTTTTTTTTTGGTTGTTCAAACAAGTATGTAACCAAATAAACAGTTGCGTAAACAAATAAAAAGTTGTGTACAATCAACCTGGGAATACAGTAATTGACTACCGTTAGGCTTCAAATATTTAAGGATTTTTAGTATTTTTTAAAAATGGAGAAAAAAAACTAAACGTGCGGCAGACTTTGTGATGATGAGGGCGGTGCCTGAGAACCAATATTATTATTTTTTTAAGCCTAATGTGTAACAAATTTTTCTTTAGTAAACTACTTACACGTTAAAATGTTACGTGTGAACAAAACTAAAACATACCCAATTGAAAGCCTGTCAGTCACAGGGGTCCTTTTCAGATTAATGTTAAACTGGGATCCTGATCGCTTTTATTGTGACTCAAGGAATATACAGTAGATTTAGTTCTATCTTTATCTAATTATGTGGTCGTACTGCAGCGTTCTAAATTAAGTGGGTCCTGGAGTCCTTCAGATATTCTCTGGTGGTATTTGAATCTAGGGATCAAATAAATCTTTAACTTTTAACCTTAAGGTCATGACAAGGACCATTTTCACTGCATTCTATGTTACTGTGTGCCAAATTTGTACAGCAAAGCCTGTTTAATGTGAGATAAGGTTGTTTGACCTACGCTTCAAGTTCTGATATTTCTCCTGTGTGCCGGCAGCTAGTTCATCTGCTCGCTTCTTCAGTCGTGTTGCACGCTCGTTTGCATCAGACGTCATATTGAACTTGTTGTTCAACCGACCAGCTGCACTTTGATATTTGTTATCAAGGTCATTTGCATCCTGAAACAAGGCTAATATATTTATCAATAGGTCTATACAGGAAGTCTGAAAAACTTTTCCCAAGATAAAATATATATGTAGAGGGTGCCATTGCCCTTGTGTTAAGAATCTAAAATCACACAATTGGTAAAATGATGTATGTTTGTTTGTAGTATAACACTGCACTCAGCAATATTACAGCTATATGAGCGCGGTCTGTAAATAATCTAGTCTGGACGAGCCAATCTAGTGACGGATGTCGAGTATTGATCTACACATTTTGGATATGATGACATGCATCAACCAAGTCAGCAAGCCTGACCACCCGATCCCTTAAGTTGCCTCTTACAACAAGCATAGTCGCCTCTTATGGCAAGCATGGGTTGCTGAAGGCCTACTCTACCCCGGATCTTCGTGGGGCGGTCAAATGATGAGTGACACTGAGTCTATACAGTGGCACCTCACACAACCCTCTGTTACCATGGTTACTGAGTATATATAAAGCCCGAAGTGATGCAGGTCTCAGACGTTTACTACGGTGAAACCTACAAGTACGGGTATGGTGCTGACAAACCTAGAAACAAAATCAGGGCGAACCCACAATTATAGTTTTCTGGCGTGCCCATGGGACGCAACTCTGCACAGCGAATTGCGGTGCCTTAGACGACTGGGCCACCCGTGCCCCCAGGAATCCTGTGACACATGTACATACCCTCTCTGCCTGGTTGGCAAGATCCGTGGCTTCTCTGGACGCTTTCTCTGCTTCTTCTACTTCAAATTTGTTCTGGTTGTATTTCTTGCGGAGATCACTCAGACGTGCCTTCAGCCTGTCCAAGATAGTCATACTCCTGTTGGACGTATCTGCTGCTGAAGTTGTTTCCGACTCAATCTAGAAAACACAACATACTTCTTACAATGACTGTCCTGAACATCCGTGATGAGGTAGAAAGTAGGCAGATCAGCATCAGTGCAGGTCGTCGGAGTCTGATAACGTCAGTGTCTGTTAACGTCATGCCTGAGAGTTGGTAAGCCTTATGACCAGACCCAATGCCTCTTACCACAACAGTCTGTGCCCAAAACTTTTGAGTCCACTAGCCCAAACGTTGCTCTTAACATCATTTTCATTAGCTTTTAGTGTTGTCATATAGACTATTATTAGCTGAGCTTACTAGACTGAATAGAATTTAACTTTTGACTCAGGCTTCGGACTATTGGTTCATGTCGCAGACTGCTACATTAGGAACTAAGAACTGCCGGTGTCCTATCAGATTGTGTATTGTTTGTTTTGTAAGCTTGTGGATTTTTGCCTAACTCAGCAATATTCCTGTAATATGACTGTGGGCTGTAAATAATCAAATCTGGATCAGACATTCCATTGATTGATATTGTGAGCAACGATCCACACCATCAGGGAACAATGACACATCATCAACAAAGTCACTGAGTCTGACCACCTGATGTATTTGGTTGTGTCTTACGACCAGACCTTATAACACAACCTGTTCCAATCCGGAATCCCCAGTGATCCGACCATGTAACCTACTTGCAATCACTAGCCTACACTTGCCTGTGTTTAGGATGAAGCTGTTGCAATAAGACTACAACAGTTTATATCCTGGTATGTATGTGACAATGTAGGGGGATAATTATATCTTGACATCTGCAAGGTTTCCTACCATGGCCAGATCATCATTAGCATCGCGGATGTTATTCTCAGCGGTGATGATCTCCCTCTCAGCTTCTTCCTGGGCCTTCTTAGCTCCATCCAGGGCACTGAGAACATCCTCGGCTGTTTTCTGGATAGCCGAAGCATCCCCTCTGCAACATCAATGCCAGTTGGCGTTTGTCAGTGCATGTTACTGTGGCTAGTAGCAGAGGAACATACTGTGGTTTCACTGCAGACCTAGGTTATCTGTAGATTTAACCTCACTAAACTGAAACTTGAATCAAACATGCAGCTGCCAAATCAGAGGTGATTATTGTCATGTGAGCAGTGAATATTGTTATTTGAGGGTTGGATATTGTCACGCGATAGTACGATATTGTTACGTGAGAGTTGAATATTGTTACTCGAGAGATGGATATTGTTACGTGGATATTGTTACGTGAGAGGTGGATATTGTTACGTGATAGTTGGATATTGTTACGTGATAGTTGGATATTGTTACTTGACAGTTGCATATTGTCACATGACAGTTGGATATTGTTACTTGACAGTTGCATATTGTCACATGACAGTTGCATATTGTCACATGACAGTTGGATATTGTTACATGAGAGGTGGATATTGTTACTAGAGAGTTGCATATTGTCACATGACAGTTGGATATTGTTACATGAGAGGTGGATATTGTTACTTGAGAGTTGCATATTGTCACATGACAGTTGGATATTGTCACGCGATAGTACGATATTGTTACGTGAGAGTTGAATATTGTTACGTGAGAGGTGGATATTGTTTTATATGTACGTAAGCTCAATCCATTATGCTGTAACTACCAACTTTTGGCCTACCTCAATGACACTTGGGTTTTCAGAATAAGACAATGGAGAACAGCAAGAAAATACATCACCAATAGAACATTTATCAACTACTAGCACTTTGATAACTCACGATGCATCGTCCGCTCTCTGCTTGAGTCTCTTGGCCTTCGCCAAATCATCCCTTGTGTCATCCAGGATAGAGTCAATGTTTTGTAAACCTTGGATGGTTCTGTTGATCTTATCTGCCAGCTCCTCGATCTGAGCCGGAGTCAGAGATATGCTCATAGCCAGCACCTCCTGCGCCACCTTGACACAGAAAAGAGTGAGTGAGTGAGTTGGGTTTAATGCGGATTTGAACTATGACTCTACGCTATGTCTGGGTTGTAGGGTGGGTGATTTAACTGTACAGCCCAGACTTAGCCCCCAGTGACTATTTCCTGTTCCGGCAAATGAAATCTGCCCTACATGAAAGACACTTCCAGGATGACGAGGACATAAAGGCTGCCACAGAGGCGTGGTTAGAGGGCCAATCTGCGGATTTCCATAAAAGTGGCATTAAAAGCTTGAAGGAGAAATGGAATAAGTGTATTGAGGTGAATAGAGATTATATTGAAAAATAAAAGTGCAAAAGATATTCTGCGACTTGGTCTTATATTGAAGTTGCAAAACTTATTGAACGCCCCTCGTATATATTTTTTTGCAACCAACTGTGATCCCCATAATGCAGAAATGTTTGGTAGAACTATGTATATGGTGGATTTCATCAAATAAAAGAAATAAACACAATAAAATGATGTAAGTCGTGGGTGGAGTCTAATAATTAATTCATAATGGCCTTAATACGGTATACAATTAATTTGTAGGATCCTTATTTCCCTCTAGCTGAAATAGTATGTAGGTAACAACAATTTTCCTTTTGTATAGACACAGTATACTGACTCTGAGCCGACAAGTCCTTGTTTTAGCCCCTTAATGCTGAGCGCCAGACAGGGTAACAACAAGTACCATCTTTTAACGTCTTTTGGTATGACCAGCCAGGAGTCGAACCCCGGACCTTCCTCTCTCCGGGCGGACGCTCTAGCACTAGACCACCACAGCGGTCCAAAGAAATAAAGACCTGTCTGCCCAATGTCAAATACTCCAGAATATCCTGGACACCCTTGGACCAGCTGTAAGCTACCTTCTCAATGCTCTCTGGTGTCGCAGCCTCCTCAAGGAAGAACTGTCGGACCCTGTGGAGAAGGTCCTCGAGGTCTTCCCTGGCTGATTCTGATTGGTTCTTGGCAAGCAGGGCCTGGTCATACGCCATCTTGGCGTCCGCCTTAGCTTGCTCCGCATCCTGCTTGGCAGACTCCAGCTAGGAAGGAAATGAAAATTTGCGTAAATCTAAAAGTTGACAGTTTGTTTAGGCAACATTTCTTTTATTTCTTGGTTTACGGATTTCAAACTCTTTTCAAAAGTGAGGTAGGCAAAACAAAAACACGAAAAACCAAGCTCTCAAATCTGTTTTCCTTGACTTTTGTCCTAAAACGTTAGGTAGGTATAAATAAATATATAGTGGAGTAACAAAAGTAAAACAATTTTTCAAGAACATTAAATTATATCCCTTGCACAAATGGCAATATAACAATATTCATGTCATGGTGAAATGCATGAAAGACGCCACCATTTTGGCAGCATTGGAGACGATCAAACTGTGCTTTTTGTTGACCAGCTCTGATGGTATTAGAGAAAGATCCCTGCGAGAAATATCAGAGGGACCTCCCTTTGTTTTACGATCGACGAGTAAACAAAAAATATTTTGTTTGAACTTTTTATGCATTTTTTAAAGTAAAGATCGACGGCTGGGCCACCCATGCCCCAGAGAAACCAAGAAGTTATCATGAATTTTTGTCATTAAACAAAAAATGTTACCCGTCTCTCAGCACAATTTTGAGTTGAAGTTTCCTTCATTTAGTTTGCTTCTATCCATTTCAATAGTTATATGATACCCCTAAATAGTGTATTTCTTCTCAAAGTGTTATGTGAAAAGAGGAAAGTAAACATCTGTGCAGGGCCCTCAGTATGGTATGCTTTACATCAGTGACTTGTCGTGTCCTACTTCTCCATATACTCACATTGGTCACTTTGCTGTATGCTTCTGTTTGCTTCGAGTCCAAGATGTCGGCAGCTTGCTGGGCATACCGCAGAGCCTTGTTGGCCTTGGTGACTGCACCTGCTCCACAGCTGGCTCCTCCACAACGCCCACAGCCGCCACCCCCACACAGATTGTCACAGGGAGCTGCTTGACTGCCACACACCTACAACAGCCATAGTTAGACATGACTTGTCCTGTTTGTCAGCTATATATTGGAGTCAATTTCGGGATGGAGCAGAGATAAAGACTGTTGTATTCGGTTGCGCTTAAAGATGCGTTTGTTTGCTGTTCTTTGCACCACTCTGTAATATTCCAGCCATATGACAACAATATGTTAATAATAAAGTTTGGACCAGGCAATCCAGTGATTGTCAGGGTAAGTCACTGAGTCTGACCACCCAATCTATAAGGTCGCCTCTTCCGGCAAGCATAGGTTGCTGGGGCCTCCCTCTAAACTGGAATCCACCCAGGGTTGTGCTCCGAGAGCTATCGAGACATTGTGACGGTGCCATATCAAGAAAGGTCTGTTTTTTTGCTTAACGCCACACCCAGCAATATTCCAGCTATATGACGGCCTGTAAATAATCAAGTCTGGACAAGACAATCCAGTGACTGACATCACAAGAATCGATCTACACAAATGCATCAACCAAGTCAGCGAGCCTGACCACCTGATCCCGTCAGTAACCTCTTACGACATGCAGGGGTTGCATAAGACCAATTCTAACCTGGATTTTCATGGGTTACAATGTGCTGTGTCATAAAGTGAGATTATATTGCGCAGAGTTCAAATACATCCAGAACAAGCATGGACATATAGGGAACTAGTCTTCCTTGTATTGTACTTAGTGACACAATTGAATCTGATAATGAAGACTCAACTGATATTAATGACCGAGGAGAGAATCAACCGAAGCCAGTGTCTACCAACCTGCTCATTAAGATTAGAAAGCCTGCCTCCCAATGTTGACACCTTGCCATCCAGCTCATCAAGTGAAGCCTTGTTTTCTTTGAGGCGGTTGTTGAAGTCATCTCTTCTCTGGTCAATGAGGGCATCCACCCGTTGCCTGGTACTCTTTGAATCCTCAACAGTCCTCTGTGTTTCATCAACCTTCCGCTGGGCATCACGAGAACGACGCTCAGCCTCACGAGTGATGTTGAAGGCACCTATAGATGAAACATTCACACCACAATTGTAACAACTGGGGTAGCTCCTTGAAGAAACAATTTACATCAACAAGGGAACAACTCACACTCCACATCAGCACACCAACAAGGGGAATAACTCACTCTCCACATCAGCACACAAACAAGGGGAATAACTCACTCTCCACATCAGCACACCAACAAGGGGAACAACTCACTCTCCACACCAGTACACCAACAAGGGAAACAACTCCTTCTCCACATCAGCACACCAACAAGGGGAATAACTCACACTCCACATCAGCACACCCCCAAGGGGAATAACTCACTCTCGACATCAGCACACTAACAAGGGGAACAACTCACTCTCCACATCAGCACACCAACAGAGGAACAACTCACCCTCCACGTCAGCACACCAAGAAGGGGAATAACTCACTCTCCTCATTAGCACACCAACAAGGGGAATAACTCACTCTCCACATCAGCACACCAACAAGGGGAATAACTCACTCTCCTCATTAGCACACCAACAAGGGGAACAACTCACTCTCCACATCAGCACACCAACAGGTAACTCTCCACATCAGCACACCAACAAGGGGAATAACTCACCCTCCACATCAGCACACAAACAGAGGAATAACTCACCCTCCACATCAGCACACCAACAGATAACTCTCCAGATCAGCACACCAACAAGGGGAATAACTCACCCTCCACATCAGCACACTAACAGATAACTCTCCACATCAGCACACAAACAGAGGAATAACTCACCCTCCACATCAGCACACCAACAGATAACTCTCCACATCGGCACACCAACAAGGGGAACAACTCACCCTCCACATCCGCACACCAACAAGGGGAATAACTCACTCTCCACATCAGCACACCAACAGATAACTCTCCAGATCAGCACACCAACAAGGGGAATAACTCACCCTCCACATCAGCACACTAACAGATAACTCTCCACATCAGCACACAAACAGAGGAATAACTCACCCTCCACATCAGCACACCAACAGATAACTCTCCACATCGGCACACCAACAAGGGGAACAACTCACTCTCCACATCAGCACACCAACAAGGGGAACAACTCACCCTCCACATCCGCACACCAACAAGGGGAATAACTCACTCTCCACGTCAGCACACAAACAGAGGAATAACTCACTCTCCACATCAGCACACCAACAAGGGGAATAACTCACCCTCCACATCCGCACACCAACAAGGGGAATAACTCACTCTCCACATCAGCACACCAACAGATAACTCTCCAGATCAGCACACCAACAAGGGGACTAACTCACTCTCCACGTCAGCACACCAACAGATAACTCTCCACATCAGCACACCAACAGATAACTCTCCACATCAGCACACCAACAGATAACTCTCCACATCAGCACACCAACAAGGGGAATAACTCATCCTCCACATCAGCACACCAACAGATAACTCTCCACATCAGCACACCAACAGATAACTCTCCACATCAGCACACCAACAAGGGGAATAACTCATCCTCCACATCAGCACACCAACAGATAACTCTCCACATCAGCACACAAACAGATAACTCTCCACATCAGCACACCAACAAGGGGAACAACTCACTCTCCACATCAGCAAACCAGCAAGAGGAACAACTCACCCTCCACATCTCGGGCCTGAATGTCTGTGGCGTTTCCTCTCAGCTCCTCAGCCAGGTTCTTCAAGTCCTCCACGCGGCGCTGCAAGATAGCGATCTGGTTGTTCCCGCTCTGTACACGAGCTGTCGTGTTACTCAGCTCCCTGTCGACATTGTTCAGGGCCTTGTTGCTCTCGGTCAAGTTACGCCTGCAGAGACCAATCGTTAGATAAAAAATGTGTCTGATTATATTCTTGATTATCCAACTATGTATCTACATGTATTTACAAAGGGGAGCAGCACTGCTACATTACACGAGATTTGGGTCAGTCACCTGATTGTGTCCAACATGTTCTGGATGTCCTGCACGTCCACTCGTGTGACGTTGGCTGTGGACAGGATGCGACGGATCTCGTCAATGTTGTTCTGCATGTGCTTGAATTCATCATCAAATGCCTTGATGGCTCCCGTCACTGAGATATTGTTGCCTGTCTCCACCAAGCTGTGAGTCTGGTCTGGAACAGAAACATGAGTCTCACACAAATCCTTATCAACTCTGGTCTGGAACAGAAACATGAGTCTCACACAAACCCTTATCAACTCTGGTCTGGAACAGAAACATGAGTCTCACACAAATTCTAATCAACTCTGGTCTGGAACAGAAACATGAGTCTCACACAAATCCTTATCAACTCTGGTCTGGAACAGAAACATGAGTCTCACACAAACCCTTATCAACTCTGGTCTGGAACAGAAACATGAGTCTCACACAAATTCTAATCAACTCTAGTCTGGAATAGAAACATGAGTCTCACACAAGTCCTTATCAACTCTGGTCTGGAATAGTAACATGAGTCTCACACAAATTCTAATCAACTCTAGTCTGGAATAGAAACATGAGTCTCACACAAATTCTAATCAACTCTGGTCTGGAACAGAAACATGAGTCTCACACAAATCCTTATCAACTCTGGTCTGGAACAGAAACATGAGTCTCACACAAATCCTTATCAACTCTGGTCTGGAACAGAAACATGAGTCTCACACAAATCCTTATCAACTCTGGTCTGGAACAGAAACATGAGTCTCACACAAATCCTTATCAACTCTGGTCTGGAATAGTAACATGAGTCTCACACAAATTCTAATCAACTCTGGTCTGGAATAGAAACATGAGTCTCACACAAATTCTAATCAACTCTAGTCTGGAATAGAAACATGAGTCTCACACAAATCCTTATCAACTCTGGTCTGGAATAGAAACATGAGTCTCACACAAGTCCTTATCAACTGTGGTCTGGAATAGAAACATGATTCTCACACAAGTCTTTATCAACTCTGGTCTGGAACAGAAACATGATTCTCACACAAGTCCTTATCAACTCTGGTCTGGAACAGAAACATGAGTCTCACACAAGTCCTTATCAACTCTGGTCTGGAACAGAAACATGAGTCTCACACAAGTCCTTATCAACTCTGGTCTGGAATAGAAACATGCGTCTCACACAAGTCCTTATCAACTTAGGTCTGGAATAGAAACATGTCTAACCCAAGTCCTTATAAACTTAATGTTTCGAACTATTAACTAAAGGTGAGGTGAAATTGGGTTTAACGTCGCGTCCAAGCTTATTGCACTTATATAGCGACGTAACTATTAACTAAAGCATGCGATATATTGTGGTACGTATCACAATACATGAATCGTTATTACAATAAATTGCAATTAGAAAGTCAGGTCAATACCCATCAATACCATCAACAAAACCTAGAGGACATTGCTGGGGAATTCTTTCAGTCCTGGAATACCCCTAGGGTCCAAATGCTGCTACGTCGTATGTGTTGCTAAGCATGAACTCACCTCTGAGGTCACGGATGATTCTATCCCAGTTGTCGAAGCACTCGCCACATGGCACACAGTTGGGCAGATCTCCGGTTGTTCCACGGGCACATCGGTCGCACTTGTAGCCTGTGACACCCTGTTCGCACACACACTGACCGGTGCGGCGGTCACACTGCATGGAGGTAGATCCCTGGGGGTCGCAGTCACATGCTGCAAGGTACAAGCTGGGTTAACATTCTCACGTACGGATGGAAACAAGTGAGTGAAAGAGTGAGTGAGTGAGTGAGTGAGTGAGGTTTAACACAGCAATGAACAGTATTTACAGTCACATAATGGCATATGATTTTGATTGTTTAACACCGCACTCAGCAATATTACAGCTATATGACAGCGGTCTGTAAATAATCGAGTCTGGACCAGACAACCCAGTGATTGATATCATGAGCATCGATCCATGCAATTGGGATCTCCATCATGGCACTGTACAAAAAGACATCTAACTGTAATGATTCTACCAATTATAACAGAATCCTCTTTACATTTGTAATATTAAATGATTTCAACATATGACTGGTACTCACGGAAGCACTGGTCGAGGGGGTCTCCCCAGAAGAAGTCCTCACAGTCACCACAAGTCTGTCCCCCTCGCCCGGCTCGACACTCACACTGGCCTTCCAGCTGGGAACACACACATGGCACATTAACAGATGTAGGGAACACATACATGGCACATGAACAGATGTAGGGAACACACACGTGGCACATGAACAGATGTAGGGAACACATACGAGGCACATGAACAGATGTAGGGCACACATACGTGACACATTAACAGATGTAGGGAACACACACGTGGCACATGAACAGATGTAGGGCACACATACGTGGCACATTAACAGATGTAGGGAACACATACGTGGCACATGAACAGATGTAGGGAACACATACGTGGCACATGAACAGATGTAGGGAACACATACGTGGCACATTAACAGATGTAGGGAACACATACGTGGCACATGAACAGATGTAGGGAACACATACGTGGCACATGAACTGATGTAGGGAACACATACGTGGCACATGAACAGATGTAGGGAACACATACGTGGCACATGAACAGATGTAGGGAACACACACATGACACATTAACAGATATAGGGCACACATACGTGGCACATGAACAGATGTAGGGAACACACACATGACACATTAACAGATATAGGGCACACATACGTGGCACATGAACAGATGTAGGGAACACACACACATTGTAACCTGGCAACTCTCATGCATCTGGGACCAGACTCACTCTCTCACGCAATGCCTCAGAAACCTCACACCTATTCGCTCAAAACAACCTTAAAAAACAATCATAGTTTAACTTTTTGTCGATTTGCCTTGTTTCTCATCACAACTGTCGAAGAGCTTTTTTCATTATTTCTACATCTCTCTGTTAAGAAAATTTACTAAAAATAGAAAAACCAGATAGGGCAGATAGATAGAGAGCTCCAATATACTGGGCAAAAGAGTTTGGATTGGGGGTTTCGTCCCCCGCCCCAGCCCCCACTTCACCCTGGACCTGACCAGGACCTGCAGCCCTGTACCCTGGTCAATACACATCTCAGTCATTGAATACATTTAGGGTTGACATGGGAGGTCAGTTGATGTTGGGATAACAAATGGCAGATCAATAGACGTCATACACATCATGAGAGTCCTACAAGATTATTAAAATCATGGAACTAAATTTCTGAATTTAACTTTCTTTTGTACAATCAACATACTTCTATACCGATTAAAGAATGTTAATATTGGGTATTCATTTCTGTATAACAGCAAAGTCTAAACCAAAAGAACAGAAAGTTCCTGATAACATTATGAGTGAGTGAGTGAGTGATTGAGTGAGTGAGTTGGGTTTAACGCCGCTTTTAACAGTATTCCAGTCATATCGCGGCGTGTCAGCTTAATGTGGGAGGAAAGCCCGAAGTGATGCAGGTCTCAGACATTTACCACTTCGGTGAAACCCACAAGCACGGGTATGGTGCTGACAAACCTAGAAACATAATTGGGGCGAACCGGGATTCGAACCCACAATCATAGGTTTCTGGCGTTCCCAAGGGACGCAACTCTGCACAGCGAATCGCGTTGCCTTAGACGACTGGGCCACCCGTGCCCCCTAACCTGAAAGGAGAATTGTTTACCTGAGTGCACTCAGTGGAGAGAGATCCCTGGGGGTCACAGTTGCAGGCATCACATCCCTTCCCACTCTGCAGGTTGTAGTGGCCCGGGGCACACTGGTCACATCGGAGACCCACCACGTTAGGCAGACAGGGGCACTGACCATTGCGACGGTCACACTGACCACCATCAGCGTCTGTACCCAGTGAGAAGCAAACGCAACCTGGCAGAAGACAAGTCTGACATCTTAAAAATACTTATTACCTACGAGGGCAAACATATCGGAGTTCATAAAATTCAAATGTGACCTAGGGTCATATCACGTCACGAGACATCAGGGTATTGTTTTCGTAATCCGGACGGCATTTTTGACGGCAATCGAATCTTGTTGTGATGCGAGGTTGGAATGACGACACACTAGAAATGATGTCATAACTGAAGATTGTAAATTCCGGTATTTCCCTCACTTTGGCTTTGGAAATACCGGAATTTAGACACTCGTGCCGTAAACATAGTATGACATAAACACTCATATAATATCCTCTATATATTCTTATTTGAAAATGTATTGATGCTATCTTATTAATTCTGATGAACAAATGACCATTGCAATGGTCACACTGACCCCCCCCCCCCCCCCCCCCCCAGGTGTCTGCACCCAGTGAGACGCAACCTGGCAGAAGACAAATCTAACTTTTGTAAAAATAAATATCTATATTTGACAATGTATTTCTGCCGCCTCATCTCTTAGAACAATCAATTCTGATGAAAAAAAATTCATTTTGTTGTATAAAGTATATTCTCTAAAAGCTCCTTCTTACTCTTGCAGTCTTGAGTGGTGGCATCACCATAGTAGCCAGGTGTACAGTGTTCACAGCTGAAGCCCTCACTATTGAACAGACACTTGAGGCACTCGCCACTCTCGCGGTCACAGCTGCCCGCGACGTCGGGGTCAATGTTGTTGTTGCACATGCACTGCTCACAACTGCCACCAGGTGACAGAGGGTTGCCAAAATAGTTCTCGGAACACCGGTCACACGTGGGTCCTGCAAATATAACTCAAGGCGTGAGTGAGTGAGTCGGGTTTAACCTCGCTTGGATCAGTATTCCACTTCATGGCGTGTCAGCTTAATGTTGGAGGAAAGACTGAACAGATGCAGGTCTCGGACATTTCCCACTTGAAACCTACCAGTATGGGTATGGTGCTGACAAACCTAGAAACATAATCAGGGCAAACCAAAAACCTAAGGAATTATGAATGCACATTGTCATGTTACTGAAAACCCTCCTACTCATTTTATTATCAACTCTATTTAACCTTTGGTTTGTGTAATTGGAGTGAATACTATGCCATTTCAGATAGAACGTTCTTAAATCTCAATCCAAGTCCATGAACGATATATCTGTTGTCTAAATGACCTGCCAGTACAAAAATAAAAACAAAAGGTATCAAAACCTTATCATACAATGTTTTTCAACATATTTCTTTGTATTTTTGTTGAAGCATGAGTTTCAGTTGAAAACTATTCTCATATCAACTGGGATATTTATTTGAACTTTGAGTTGTGGCTCACCGACCAACAAAAGGGAAATGGATCTGACACAAGTCTGCCATCTATCATAAATCTTAACACAATTGAGTTATCCCCCCTTACTTTCGTATCCAGGGTAACAGTCACATGTTACAGAGCTGCTCCTTGGATCGAGAGTGCAGGTGTCGGCGTGCTGGTTCTCGGAACCTGGTCCACCGGGGCAGAGACAGGGGCGGCAGGGAATACGCACACCAACACGGGGGTCGCCATAGTAACCATTCATACACCTGCAACAGGGACATCAATATTCAAGGAGCAGTCCATTAAATTTTGAAGTCTATGTAATTTCAGTCCATCTGTCACAAATCCAGTCTCATTTTTCAGGCAATATGTATAATATGTACATTGCCTGAGTGAACCAGTCAATATACATGCTGACTGACATTTTCAGTCAATATACATATTGCCTGTTCATAGACATTGACTAACATATACACAGAGGTTATCATGCAAGTGTGTTTCGGGATGGTAAATATCCTGTAATAGTTATAAACATTGTATTTAGCGAGCCTTGGCTGAGAAACCTATCCATTATATACTACTCAAAAGAAGTTAAGGATCACCCGATTCTTTCATATTGGTAATGTTAATCTGTCATGGCATGAGAGATTAACTATTGAAATATGGAAGATTCAGGTGATCCTTAACTTCTTTTGAGTAGTATATGATCAAGACAAAGACAAAGTTGAACACTTTGATGAATGTTTTTCATTCAAGTGCACGATGTTTAATTATGAAATTAAATAATTGAAATAATGGCAGCTATGTCACAAAATGGCACCCTGAACACTGGTTCCAAGACATCCTGGCAACAGCCAGCAACTTTCCGTCATCAAATAAGTCATTGCGTACTCCCATACCTATCACAGTACTGTCCATCGGTGAAGTTCCTGCATGAAATACAGCGTCCGTCAAGGTTGTCACAGGTGTCGGCGTTGCCGTTGCACTGACACTGTCGACACTGGGGGAAGCCCCAGAACCCCACGCGGCAACTGTCGCAGGCACGTCCGTAGGCGTTCTGGATACACGTACACTGCCCGGTCTGCTCATTACAGAAGTTGTCCCGGGCACCGATGTTGTGGCAGTTGCAAGCTGGTGGCAGAAAAAATAAAACATCTTGAATCTCTTCTGGCGAATTGCATATTTTTAGCAATGAAAATACACCTTTTAGTTCAAGAATGAATTCTTTTTGAAAAAAAAACACTGCTAACTTTCTTTCTGGGTTTTGGGTCGACCTATTATTTGCAATTTAACATAAGAAGAGAAACCTATCCTCTGTTGTTACTGTTAATAAAAGTGTCCAGAAATCTTTAAAAACATATTCAAGATGCCAAAACTGAACACTCCTAGTAGAACACTTAAACAGATTTCCTCTTTCAAATAAAGGCCCAAGGTGAATGAGCGGCATCTATATTTTTTTACAATTTCTAACAGTGAAAAAAGCAAGAAAAAATACTAGTGAACTGAGGAATCGTTAAGAACTATTTTGTCGGTGCTGCAGTATCTGACTATCAACACATTCTTTATGACAGAATTCAGAAGCTCACCTGTACAGCCGTTGGGCCCGAATCCATACGTTCCGGGAGCACACTGGTCACATCTCCTGCCGACCACGTTGGGCTTGCAGGGGCACCGACCTCCCTCGGGGTTACACTCACGACTTACGGAGCCGGTGGGGTCACAGTCGCAGTCTGCACACACATATAGACGGAAATACAACATATATGTTTCAGCAGCAGTCGTACCATCATTTCTGGGTCAAACACTGGGCTTTGGGTCTTAGAAAGAGTCCACAAGACTTACAACTTCAAAAACGTACCAGGGCTCTCTTGTTTAACAGAGATGTAATGATACGGTGGAGCAACAATACCATATTTTACCCCAATACTACATATTTCATAAGGTGATATTTTTTTCTTCTTGCAGGTGAATCACAACCCTGAATCATGCTTTATTAAATTTCACAGAGTGAAGAAGGAATACGAAGGGCAGAAACATAAGGCTAGTGGGCACTGCGATCGTTATGCTATTTATAGCATATATATATTCATAATACTAGAGAATATACAAAAGCTACTTCTGGATCTGTTTATGGTATTTTTCACGTTTTTACACCAACATAACTTGTCATGTAATGTATTGCATGTATTGAGATACAGGGGTTGTAAATCAGTGCACTGTATCGTGAGCCTCGTATCGCAATACAATACTGTATCACCGTATTGTTACACCATTATTGTTTCAGGTGATTGTAAAGCATGCAGTGACCTGTAGATGCCAATTAGCAGAGTATAAAACTGATAGAAAACAGCACAATCAGCACAATAGGCATAATATAATGATCAATTTATGGCAGCACTATCACAAAACTACTAGTTCCTTCATAATGACATCAACATCTGCAGGATCTGTTCCACATTGTGGATGCAACATTTAGAAGTCCAAAATCCACAAAGCTAAAAAAATCTATAAAAAGGGTTTGTAATAAAACAGCATATAGTTAAAGTGATTGAAATCCACTGACCGATGGCTCCATTGTGAAGCACAGCGGAGATGCTGAAGATATGGCCCTTGCAGACGTCGGGCATGTCTGCCTGGATGGAGTTGAACTGCAGCTGACGACATCGGTTGCGCAGGAAGTCGTTCTTCATGTACTCGTGGAGCCCAGGGATCTGGTAGATGGGGATGGCATCCGTGTGGGGAACCAGGATCAACTAGAAACATACACAGGGTTGTGAGTGAGTGAGTGAGTGAGTGAGTGAGTGAGTGAGTGAGTGAGAGAGTGGGTGAGTGAATGAGTGAGTGAGTGAGTGGGTGGGTGTTTGTGTGTGTGTGTGAGAGAGAGTGAGAGAGAGAGAGTGGGTGAGTGTTGTGTGAGTGAGTGAGTGAGTGAGTGAGTGGATGGGTGGGTGAGTGGGTGTTGGAGGGGAGTGAGTGAGTTGGTGAGTGAGTGGTTGGGCGAGTGAGTGAGTGAGGGGTGGGTTGGTGAGAGAGTGAGAGTGAGAGTGAGTAAGTGTTTGCGTGTGTGTGTGGGAGGGGGAGTGAGTGAGTGAGTTGGCGAGTGAGTGGTTGGGCGAGTGAGTGAGTGAGTGGTTGGGCGAGTGAGTGAGTGAGTGGGGGTGAGTGAGTGAGTGAGTGAGTGAGTGAGTATGGTTTTATGCCGCTTTTAGCAATATTACAGCAATATCACGGCGGGGGACACCAGAAATGGGCTTCACACATTGTACCCATTTCGGGAATCGAACCCAGGTTTTTCGGTGTGACGAGCGAACGTTTTAACCACTAGGCTACCCGACCGCCCCGTGAGTGAGTGAGGGGGTGGGTTGTGAGAGAGTGAGAGTGAGTAAGTGTTTGTGTGTGTGTGTGGGGGGGGGGGGGGGAAGGTGTGAATGAGTGAGTGAGTGAGTATGTGTCTGAGCAGGATTACTGCGGCAATGTCACGGCAGTGTTACAGCAATGTTACAGATACATCATAAATCTTCTTTTGCACTTATATAGCGACATGCTTGCATGCATGTGCTTGCATGCTTGTACTAGTCCAGGGTTATGCCGATTTTAGAGTGCTAGCACACTGTGATACCATGCCGCACGTTAACATGAATTCCCCACTCAGACACAGTATACTGACTCTGAGCCGACCAGACCTTGTTTTAGCCAGGCAAGGTAACAACAAGCACAATCTTTTAACGTCTTTTGGTATGACGCAGCCGGGAATCTAACCTCCAACCTTCCGCTCTCAGGGCAGACGCTCTACCACTAGACCACAGAGGCGGTCGCAACATCATCACAGTAACATCAATAATTCAGCAATATCACAGCGATGTGACAGCAACAATACAGCAACATCATGGACTATATTGCAGCATCATGTGTACAGAACAGCCTAGAGTTTAGTTACACGAGGACACAAGTGTCTGCAACTCACAGAGTCAATGAACATGGTGGCATCGGGTGTCAGTTGGCCTTGCTTGTAACGCTGGAAGTCCAGTCGGATGGTGTACATCTTGCCGCTCTCCAGGCAGGATGGAGGGGTCACCAGCTGGTAGCGTGCACCTTGGGTAGATGGCAGATTACTTAATAACATCACTACACTGTATGACCAAACAGGCTTACATGAGAGGTGGTACAACATGGTACTTCAACTAGACTTATGTTTGTGAAGCCTGACCTAAATGTTGTGGTTGCAGTTACACTTCTAAAAAAAGGGTAGGAGTATTTGTTTTTTCAAAAACCTAGAAAACTATCTGGCACTGTTTGGCATATATTTCACGTGTGCGCTTTGTTTTGTCACAAACAGTGGGATCTACATAAAATGTTACTGTAAGCACCTTAGTTAGAGTTGGGTGGGTAATCGGAATAACATCAAATTGTTTAAATTGTTATTGCATGACAATGCCAATGTCACTCTGTTCACCAAGCTCAGCTCTCATCAGAATAACAAGACTTTTTTATAAAGGAGTAAAATACTGTTGAATCCCTTTTCAAAACATAAGCAAAGGTCATTTTTTATGCACGACATGAATCTTTGTGTCCTCACCTGGTTCAATGGTGACAGATTTGATGTCCTCCTGAGGGTTGAAGTCAGCACACAGACCATCTGGATCCACCTGATCTGGGCGTACCACCGTCACCCGAACATCCTCCCACATCTCCGGCATCTGAGGTCAAGATCAAGCATATTTAAGCTCAAATTCCATCTGTACAGTCCAAATTTACAAAAAGACCCTAAACACAATCAATAAACACAATATTCAAACCTCTCATATATGCAACAGACATCAATACCCATTTCTTGAAACATGACAAACACTTTTCACCAACAAAAGGAGAACTTCTTACCCTAGGGTCGTATCTGAGGACGATGTCGTAGTAGGTGGGGAAGCTGATGTCAGTGACGGTGAACTCGATGCTGTCTCCCTCCATCACTCTCATGTAACCAGGGCCGGTCCAGTACGATGGACCACCAGGGATTGGCTCACGGATGTACACTCGGGCATTCTGCGGAAATGTTACATTTCAAATTTATCATTTGTGACTATTTAAGTGACAATTCATTTAAAAGAACATTTAATCCAATCGAAATAAGAAATTAATGGTCAACAATTATAAAATTGGAGGGTTTTTAAAGCCCTCACAACCAATCCAACTGATTTTGTGATAATGAAGGAATGGGGTAGCCTCTGGGTCCACCTTATGACCCAAAATGCAATTCAGTGGCTTCGTGAGCAGATGTACAGCTTAGTAGTTTCGTTATATGTGGTTTAACATTCAAATCTGGCATTTAACAGATAGACAATCAGTGCCAGACACAATATTTGTCTTGACCATCGGCATGAGTTTTGTGGAAGAACTGTTCTTTTAAACCCATGTTGACCAGTAGGCTGTAATTCTTAAATTTACCCCTGTAACGCTTCTCTCTATCCATAGCAATGCTAACAAATTACCTTTGCCAAGCACACATGTACCATGCTTGCCACCAAGAAGACTAGACTAGACTAGACTAGAAGACCAAGAAGGGAGATAACTCTCAGTTTCCCTCAAGCTACGAGAAGTGCTATATTCCTAACACTTATTAAAACTGAATTTAAGTAACCTCAAATTACACACTGTAACCAGTGTAAAGCAATCAAAATAGGATTCCATGCACCGACACTATGACAAATGATAAAGCTGGATCAGTTACTCACCCCGGTGCCGCGGCCAAACTCCGCCTCGTAGATGTAATAATCCAAGCCAGCGAAGAAGTAGCCTGGCTCCACCTGCTTGCAGTGTTTGCCCATGATGTGCGGCCGACAGGTGCACTGTCCTGACTGCTGGTCACATGACTCGCTGAGAGAGCCACCTATGTCACAGTTGCAAGCTTCACATCCATAAGGGCCATCACTCAGACCATAGAAGCCGCGCTGGAAGAGTGACACACAGGTTATAGCACAAGAAAGGGGAAGTCCTGCTACATTAAACCTTTAGTCCTTAGACGTTCATGTAAACTCACACCAAATCAAAATCTTACATCGTTTCTAACTTCACTTGCTTATTTTAATGTCCTCATAAAATCTGAGCCCTCATCTGGTTCCAGGTACTTTTATACTGTGTCCGGTTCACCCTTTCCTGTGGGAGAGCTGTACTTACAAACACTGAGGTGATACACGATGATTCATGCTTATTGCTCTCAAGTGGCCTTCTGTCTTATAATTCATAGTGGGGCGGTCAGGTAGCCTAGTGGTTAAAGCGTTCGCTCGTCACGCCGAAGACCCGGGTTCGATTCCCGACATGGGTACAATGTGTGAAGCCCATTTCTGGTGTCCCCCGCCATGACATTGCTGGAATATTGCTAAAAGCGGCATAAAACCATACTCACTCACTAGAACTCATAGTATGTAAAGTTATCAATGATAATATCATAAAAAAACTTCAGCCTGTATATATGATTTGATCCATATTTAATGTTCAATGTTCTGGAGGCCATCTCTACAATGGGGAGGTGAGGTAGCCTAGTGGTTAAAGCGTTCGCTCGTCACGCTGAAAGCCCAGGGTTCGATTCTCCAGATGGGCAAAATGTGTGAAGCCCATTTCTTGTGTCCCTTGCTGGGATATTGCTGGAATATTGCTTAAGAAAAAGCGTAAAACTGAACTCATTCACTCATCTGTTAATATTAATAAAATAAGCCAGATAGATTGGGACTGAGATTGTTTAGTTTTCCAGTGTCGATTATAAATACTTTGTGCGCCAGCTAAACCATGATGATGACATCATGCTCGTGTCCTTGTTGATTATGAACAAGGAATTCACAGGCCACTCATTCAGGCCAAGTGGAATTGAGGCAAGTAAAAGTCATTGTGCCAAATTATAGAGAAATTATATATCAGCCATAACATGGTTCAAGTCGGAGAAATCACTCGAATCTGCCGATTCTTGGAGTTGAATCATCTCGCCTCAGGTCTTGATTCTCACTATTTCTCCATTACATAGACAGGCCTAATTCTACACTGAATGCCTCATATCTTAGACTTCTTGTCTGTATTGTTTCATTTTATCATGAATATTTTGTTGAATACTAGCTAATCATATGTACTAAAGATACGACTGAAACACTTTCAGACTAAAAAACAAAGACGTGGTCACACACAGAAACTCTGACCCCACACCAGCCATGTTCACAACAATAGCCACGGCAGTGGCACCAGGACAGGATGTTCATTGGGGGAATCAAACTCAGGTATTCGGCATAACGATCCACCACCTTAACCACTAGGCTACCTACCCCATTGGTCCCTATTAATGTGAGCTGGAAGGAACATGAGAATGATAAGTTTCGGCCTTAAGTACTCACATGGCAAGTGTCACAGTTCTGTCCGGTTACGTATCTCTTACACAGACAGAGGCCAGTGTGCTGGTCACACCCATAGTCTCCAAGTGTACCCAGAGGATTACACGAGCAGGCTGAAAAAGGTTTTTGTATTTATCATTTTTATTTCAACTCTAAGCAGGGTACATATTCATGAATTGAATTCATGAACATGAAGTTCAAATGTACTATTATTTACAGTAAGAATATGCTGAAATACACAATCCAGGTGTCACTAATCAACACATTAATTGAATATGTTTTTCTATATAGTTTTTTAACAGATACAAACAGTGTAATAAACACAGCATATTTACATCACAAACATGCAAGTGTTTGGAATGAATGAGATCATGTTTCTAAAGTAATAAATCACATAATATCTCGCAAATTAATTTCAATTTTTAAGTCCCTTGCAATACATGCATTATTTCTAAGATAGAAATTTAAGCCAGACTGCTAACCCAAGCCGACTTGATAAGGGTTACCTGAGGCATCAGGATTATTATCAGTGGTAAGTTATCATGTTTGTTTGTTTTTGTTGTTTAATGCCGCACTCAGCAATATTCCAGCTATATGACGGCGGTCTGTAAATAATCGAGTCTGGAGCAGACAATCCAGTGATTAATAGCATGAGCATCGATCCACGCAATTGGGATTCGATGAAATGCATCAACCAAGTCAGCGAGTCTGACCACCCGATCCTGTTACGACAAGCACAGTCGCCTTTTACGGCAAGCATGGGTTGCTGAAGACCCATTCTACCCCGGATCTTCACGGGCTGTAAGTTATCATGATTTGGGTAGTATACTTTTAAGATGTTTATTGTATTCAAGGCCATATGGCCAACATAACATGAAAATTAATAATTGTAACATGATGGAATATACAAAGTTAATATGTCACAAAAGTAAAATTTCTTCCTTTTATCTTTAAATGACCCATTGGTAATTGGAAGAATTTTTTAATGAATTTCAAAATTTATCTTTCACATCTTCATATAAAAATTGAAAATTTTTAAGTTGCATGAATGCAGTATTTGCCAGCCATGATTTTCAAAATGTGTAAGGTTTCATGGCTTTGAAGTAGTCACTGAAACACATTTGAAAACAGCGAAGCTGGACTCACCGTCACAGCCAAGTGGGTTGTCTCCCTGCAGATTCCAGTAGTTCTCTACACACTGGTCACATCTGGACCCTCGCACATGGCGCTTGCACCGACATCGGCCCCCCTCCAGGCCAAGCACCTCATCTGTATGACTCTCGCACTCGCCATTCCGCTCCGAGCCGGCAGGGTCACAGTCACATGCTGCAGTGTAAAGGTGGGACAATGTCATAAATGTACAGGTCGGTCACAATGTTATAAATGTACTAAACACCGTCACAATGCTATAAATGTCCTAAACACCGTCACAATGCTATAAATGTACAGGTCAGTCACAACGTTATAAATGTACTGAATACAGTCACAATGTCATAAATGTACAGGTCAGTCACAATGTTATAAATGTACTAAACACCGTCACAATGCTATAAATGTCCTAAACACCGTCACAATGCTATAAATGTACAGGTCAGTCACAATGTTATAAATGTACTGAATACAGTCACAATGTCATAAATGTACAGGTCAGTCACAATGTTATAAATGTACTAAACACCGTCACAATGCTATAAATGTCCTAAACACCGTCACAATGCTATAAATGTACAGGTCAGTCACAACGTTATAAATGTACTGAATACAGTCACAATGTCATAAATGTACAGGTCAGTCACAATGTTATAAATGTACTAAACACCGTCACAATGCTATAAATGTCCTAAACACCGTCACAATGCTATAAATGTACAGGTCAGTCACAACGTTATAAATGTACTGAATACAGTCACAATGTCATAAATGTACAGGTCAGTCACAATGTTATAAATGTACTGAATACAGTCACAATGTCATATATGTACTGAACACAGTCACAATGCTATAAATGTACAGGTCAGTCACAATGTTATAAATGTACTAAACACTGTCACAATGCTATAAATGTACAGGTCAGTCACAATGTTATAAATGTACTAAACACCGTCACAATGCTATAAATGTACTGAACACAGTCACAACGTTATAAATGTAAAGGTCAGTCACAACGTTATAAATGTACTGAATACAGTCACAATGTCATAAATGTACAGGTCAGTCACAATGTTATAAATGTACTAAACACAGTCGTTATGTCATAAATGTACAGGTCAGTCACAATGTTATAAATGTACAGAATACAGTCGTTATGTTATAAATGTCCAGGTCAGTCACTATGTTATAAATGTACAGGTCAGTCACAACGTTATAAATGTACTGAATACAGTCACAATGTCATAAATGTACAGGTCAGTCACAATGTCATAAATGTACTAAACACAGTCGTTATGTTATAAATGTCCAGGTCAGTCACTATGTTATAAATGTACTAAACACAGTCACAACGTTATAAATGTACTGAACACAGTCACAATGTCATAAATGTCCAGGCCAGTCACAATGTTATAAATGTACTAAACACAGTCACAATGTTGTAAATGTACAGGTCAGTCACAATGCAATAAATGTACTAAACAGTCACAATGTTATAAATGTACTTAACAGTCACTATGTTATAAATGTACTAAACAGTCACAATGTTATATATGTACTAAACACAGTCACAATGTTATATATGTACTAAACACAGTCACAATGTCATAAATCTACTAAACAGTCACAATGTTATAAAGGTACTAAACACAGTCACAATGTCATAAATGTACTAAACAGTCACAATGTCATAAAGGTACTAAACACAGTCACAATGTCATAAATCTACTCAACAGTCACAATGTTATAAAGGTACTAAACACAGTCACAATGTCATAAATCTACTCAACAGTCACAATGTCATAAAGGTACTAAACACAGTCACAATGTCATAAATGTACTAAACAGTCACAATGTCATAAATGTATTGAACACAGTCACAATGTCATAATGTACTAAACAGTCACAATGTCATAAAGGTACTAAACACAGTCACAATGTCATAAATGTACTAAACAGTCACAATGTCATAAAGGTACTAAACAGTCACAATGTCATAAAGGTACTAAACACAGTCACAATGTCATAAATGTACTAAACAGTCACAATGTCATAAAGGTACTAAACACAGTCACAATGTCATAAATGTACTAAACAGTCACAATGTCATAAAGGTACTAAAAACAGTCACAATGTCATAAAGGTTCTAAACACAGTCACAATGTTAAACTTTGACATATCTCTGGCTCCTGTCTCTAGGCCATCCATACCAGGGGTCCGGAAAATTTAAAATCCCAATCGGACATTTACATTTATGCCACGCCCCCTTCAAACAGCGTGTTTTAGTACGACCTTTTACACACAAATAACAAGTTGTTACGTATTAATAATATGATGAATTATGAATTGTTTCAATTTAAATTATTTAATTCACCGGACAATTAATAACAAATAATATCATTTTAGATATATATGGAAAACATACGTTTGTTTCTGTTATAATAACGATCTGTCAACGTTGTGAACGGTCTAATTAATATTCATGAGTCTGCTCAAGTGTACGCGTTGTAACATTTGGATCGAGACTATTATCCAATATTTGGTTATCACGTGACCTCACGGGAAAAGGTTTTTTTTAAAACTAAAGATTATTTAAAAACAAGACAGATAATATAATCATAAATCCTAAACTATCGTTGATAGCAATAGCAGACCTGTCAACCCTCCCGCATTTTGCGGGAGACTCCCGCAATTTGATGAAATCTCCCAGTCTCCCGCAAGATGGACTATTTCTCCCGCAAAACAGAATTTTCATTATTTAAAAAATTCGCCTCCATTGTCCCGTGAGTAAAAACAATGAACGGGAAGTTTGCGTCCCGATCTGTCCGGTAGGCTCCCGGATTAGCAACCCTTATCACAGCCACCCGCAGGGGGACCCAGATGGGCCTTTGTCCAGTAATCAACTGGTAATTAAATTCATATGGTGAACGATTGAACAATGTAAACTGTTAAGAAAACTCGGATAGTCCTAACAGGTGCCTGAAGGGTACGTTGAACTTGAAATGAAAAATCAGCCAAGTATTCATCACTTCATGAAATGAACTGTTGTCTTCATGTTCTTAGCGTGTTTATTCTTCCATAATTTAAGAACGTAGATACATATGGCCGGTCCAGTTATACATGACTTTATTGGTTATCAGATTTGTCAGAAACTTTGTTAAAACATCAACATACCTCAAAGTTACGTCATTGAACTCTTGGAAATGAAAACAAAATATGTCCTGCAAGCGCCGTCTTCAGAAACAACACTATGCGTGATTGGTTGATTCGGTAGTCGAAATAACAATGAGTTACACGATCAGGCTTCCTCACAGCTAGGATTTCAAAGTCAAAGTTTAAAGTGAAACTTATAAATTTCCTTTTGACTGACATCGTGACTTGTGTGCACAGAAAATATCAAAACAGAACTTTATCAAATTTCGCGAGAATGTATCATGTGATTATTTTACACGATTTGATTGGCTAATAGTTTGCTTGCGTCCCAGATCTGCAATCTAATTTGCATACAACAGTACTAGTCAACCAATGAGATTAATACACGTCAAGGTCAGAAAGGTCAACAACGACAACGAGACTCATTTCATTCATAAATAATAGTACTTCCAAATATGGCATACATTTCTTGGAATGGAATAACGTGAACATTTCTAGGAAATTTAAGAAGCGAAGTAATGGGACTGTCAACAGACTACCGCAGACAGAAAAAACCCAGTATATCTTATTGAAATTAAGGGCGCTGATGTTGCGTCAGGATAAATGCATTTGATATTTCTTTGGCGAATTTTGTAACTAACATCGCGCCAAATACTCAGAAAACCTGCATCGTAACGAAGCCTGACAACTGGTCGGATTGAACACAGACACACACGTCGTCAACTGGTCAAGCTACCGTTTGTGAAATTTCAATATCTGTTTGCATTTATCTAAGATGATCTCTGAACGAAAGTTATATGGGTAGATTGTCCTGGGTTTATTTTTGGAGGAGGAAAATGCAAACGGAAATTAAGCAAGCTGTACGTATAAGAAACTTATTGATTATTTATTGTTTCAAAATATTTGGTTTTCTTTGTAACATTATTAAAAATAAAAATTGGAAATTATCTTATCTTCACTATCTTAAAAATCTCCCCCTTTGGAGGCAAATCTCCCCCATTTTGAAGTCAAATCTCCCACATTGTCATGATGAGGGGTTGACAGGTCTGCAATAGTTATTTGAATACTTTTTCATCTGTACTTAATTATTGACCATAAAAATTTTTTTATATCGATCGTCACAGAAAGCAAAATGGCGGTCAAATCAAGATTCAATATACGACTAGCTACTGAAAACAATAAAATCTGCAAATCCTCATAGTATGTCAACCAATTGAAAGTCGTTAGCCACGACTTCCAAAATAATCATTCAGACTTTGAGGGTTGGGCAGATCCGCTCGACCGATCTGCATCGGTCGACTGGCTGTCGTCACGCTTTCGCTTCTTGTCTGAGGTTACGTATCGTAGCATTGTGAGGATAATGAGGTACATCAATGATGCAAGGTATTTATGTACAGTTGTAAACACATTTTACTCAAATTAACAAGATGTTCTCAGTAATTAATCCTCGATTAATCAGTTTCAACTCAGTTTATTGCCTATTACAGTGATTGACAGATTGGACTATCATTGTAGGTACGATGTATTTACAGCAATCAAAACAAACAAAGCTTGTCAGTGTAGATAATCTTAATTGTGTTACAACTGCAGACAGAAACGGCTCAGTCCTAACTGTTGATCATGTCCGGTCAAAATTTAAGAATGTCCGGACAATACTTTTTAAAATGTCTGGACAGAAAAATTTAAATGTCCGGTAAGCAATATTTTAAACCGGACATTTGACGGTTTCCGGACCCCTGATCCATACCCCTACATGCAGCACAGCTCATACTTACGCATACATATCTGTGGACCATCATAATCCTACATGCAGCACAGCTCATACTTACGCTGACATATCCGTGGACCATCATAATCCTACATGCAGCACAGCTCATACTTACGCTGACATATCTGTGGACCATCATAATCCTACATGCAGCACAGCTCATACTTACGCTGACATATCCGTGGACCATCATAATCCTACATGCAGCACAGCTCATACTTATGCTGACATATCCGTGGACCATCATAATCCTACATGCAGCACAGCTCATACTTACGCATACATATCTGTGGACCATCATAATCCTACATGCAGCACAGCTCATACTTACGCATACATATCTGTGGACCATCATAATCCTACATGCAGCACAGCTCATACTTACGCTGACATATCTCTGGGTCCCTGATGTCTCTGTTTGGGTCCTGGAAGAAGAAGGGTTTGCACTCCTGACAATTGCGGCCCTGTGTGTTGTGTTGGCAGTTGTCACAGATGCCGCCACTCACTTCGCCAGTAGCCTCAAACACCGCTGGATCAAAGTGACACTTGGCAGCATGATTGTTGCAGTTGCATTCTGGGGAAATAAATACCGGTTTGTCAATGAAGGTGGGTCTAAATACTGGCTAGAAAACTGATATTAGCTGGAATTTGGTACATGTGACAAGAGTGATAAACTGATTTGGGCTTATTGCCACTAAGGTATTCCAGCAAAAATGCAACGTCGTATGGCTAAGGTACACAACTTCAGCGTATAAGTTGACTGGGCCACATGTGCTCTATCTTCCCGAGGCAAGCGTCTCCACTAGCCCATATCAAAGCCTAGCTTCTACCCTTGCCACATTATGGCCACCTTTCTTGGCTCGACCCTGGCGCCACCTCGCGTAGATCACGAGGTGTCACCCTGGTATTGAAAACGTGATATCCAATCAGATGGCTGTTTTTACCCCATATAGCTTCACAAAGATGGTGACTACCATAGCAAAAACATCTACGATTTCATCTCTGACACAAAAACAGGCAATCGTTTGGGTTTGGGTGAGGGTGTTTGGGTCCGGGGGGTTGTTTAAAAGATGAAAAAGACATATTCGTGCCAACAAGAACAGGCAGCAGTAAATCACTTCATACGAAGGCGATTTTGTAAAACGTTTCCTGATTGGTCAATCGATATCTGTGATAGCCAAACCATATTTAGCACAGGAAAGTAGGCTTGATGTGGCAAGGATGGAAACAAGACTTTGATAAAAAGGCTAGGGGAAGCTCTTGCCTTGGGAAGATGCATGTGCCTCAACAAGGACAACAAAAGGGGAAATAACTGCATAATTCAACAGCTTTTTAAATACAATCTCTACATCTGTTGGCACCGTAAGAATTCAGACAATAATTGACCCTACTTCAGCGGTGAGAAATCAGGGACAACAATGTAGGATGCTTAGAACGGACTTTCATTTTATCTTTAACTTCAGATATGAGGCAGGAAACCAACTATATAAACTAATCAGCAACAGTTCTGATTTCTTTGTACAATGACGCACAGAATTTAGTGAAACAATTGACAAAATTCACCACATCCAACAGTCTGACATGATCTATGAAACTATTTGTGAAGCATTTTGATGCATCCCTCCATACAGCATAACATAGGAACAGCTTACTCTTGCAAGCATTTGGCTGGTTCTTCCTAGCTGGTTGCCATGGGAGATCATTGTAGAACTCCTCACACATCTCACAGTTGAGGCCCTTGGTGTTGTGAGTACACTCGCACATGCCATGCACCTGCAACAACAACAGCATCACGGCATTACATCTTGACTATGGGACATCTGCATTTAATTTTATCACAAGCGGTTTTGATGATCAAAATAAGCAAGTCTAGCTAGCAATATGCCACATGAAACCTGCATTAGATTTTAAGATTTTATAAAAAATCAGAGAAATGGATTGTGCAATAAAAGATTTCACAGACTTTGTCATAGTACATGTTAAGTCTACTTAATGACATGATACAGAAATAATTGGAAAATCGGTTTTCCAAGATGATCAGCAGTGATCAGACCAGGTACAGCCTTCAACAAGATCATCCATGCTAATTCAGATGCATTTATTTTTTTCGATAGTCAGACAATCCAGCGATTCACATTATTACCATTGATCTACACAATTGGGTCCGATGACATGCATCAACCAAGTCAGCGAGTCTGACCACCCGATCCCATTAGTCGCCTTTATGACAAGAATGGGTTGCTGAAGAGCAATTCTAACCTGAGTCTTCGAGTTGTAGCAATCTACTATAAGGGACGTACCATGTTTGGGTATGTGTCATATCCTGGCACTGGCAGACATCTGGAGGCGTGGCCATAACACGAGCAGCTACCTCTGACAGTCATGTCAAACAAAGAGTAATAGTACTTATCCTTGATCTCTGGACGGCTGTCAAGCTGGGTGTCACCTTGCAACACAAGAAAATAAGTATTAAAGAAAAAACATATTTCCAATCAAAACTGAAAAACTAACTGAAAATTATGTTTTCATGAATACATTGACTTGAATTTGATAAATTCTAACTAGACAGCTTGATAAATTAAGTTCAAGTTTTATTTGACAAGTATGTACACGTTTTGCATTTCAGCAAAAAATGCATTTACAGTATATCATGCAAGGTAAGACCCCACTGATCTGGAAACCTGCCTGCTAGACACCAACTGAGAACACTTACATACATATATAAACAGGGAAATTAATTAATGGGAACAATTTTTCTTGAAACAGTGTAACATTAATAGCTAAATGGTATTTATCCATACATCGTTTGGAGAAGAATACATATGCCTCAACACAAGAGCAGACACTAATCTAATCTCTACTTTCTCAAATGTTTTCTAATCAATAAGTGGGCGGTCGGGTAGCCTTGAGGTTAAAGCATTCGCTCATCACGCCGAAGACCCGGGTTTGATTCCCGACATGGGTACAAATTGTGAAGCCCATTTCTGGTGTCCCCTGCCATGATATTGCTAAAGCGGCGTAAAACCATACTCACTCACTCACTCTAATCAATAAGCATGTATGTATTAATTACTGTTTTCCCAAGTTGAATTCTTTAATAGTTTATCATACACTGACTTATTTCCAAAGGCAGTTGAACATTTCAAACAACCGCATGATAGGGCCACGGCATATCACGGCACGTAAGTTACAGTCTTACACAAAAGAATGTTACCATGAGTCAAGCAAGTGTAGTGAGTGAGTGAGCGGGGTTTTATGCCACTTTCAACAAAATTCCAACAATATGCCAGTGAATAACACCAGAAATGGGCTTCACACATTGTTTGCATGTGTGGAATCGTACCTAGGCCTTTGGCATGACAAACGCTGAAATATCCAGACTACCCACTTCCCCTCAAGCAAGTACAGTGAACATGGTTATGACGCTCACCTAATGTGTGGAGTTCAGTGAAGTTGATTCTCAAGTTGGTGAGTTTGAGCAGATCCTGCACCTGTTCGCTGTACGGGTCCTTGATGGGAATGAATGGTGGCAACACACGGAAAATTACCTGAAAATAAAGTTACAATGAAAACATAAGTGAGCCATGTCACCTGCTGAACAGTCATATCACAGAAAGTCAGGTAAATGGGGGAAGACAGACCAAAGTGACGCAGGTAGTGGATGTTTTGTTGGTTTGTTGTTAATGCCGCACTCAGCGATATTCCAGCTTTTTGACAGCTTCCAGTCAATACTCGAGTCTGGACCAGACAATGCAGTGGTCGCTATTGTGAGCAACGATTCACACCAATAGCATGAATAGGGGAATTAGGACAGACCATCAACCAAGTAACCGAGCCTGACCCCCTGATCCATTTGGTCGCCTCTTATGACCAGCATAGGTTGTTGGGGGCCAATTCAAGCGTCGCATATATGTACCACTCGGTAAGACCAATGAGTGCAGGAAGAGAGCTGACCGTCCAAGGATGATATTGTTTGTCTGTTGCACTCAGCAATATTCTAGCTTCAAGAAAGCCACCAGAAAATAATCAAGTCTGGATCATACAAGCCAGTGATTGATATCATGCACACCATTTCAGGCATTTGGCGTACTGTCATACAAAAAACCAAGTTGCCAAACCTGACCACCTGATAGATTTAGACTTCTTACCACAATGTAGGTTTTGGGGACCTTGAATACACCCATAAACCCGGAATACACCAATAAACCAAGGGTCATAATCAGGAGGAATCTGGGGTTCAAACCCCTGATCAGCAGTCCAATACGTAGACCACTGTGCCACCAGTGCCCCTTGGTGTAGATGTACTTGTACTACACAAAAACACTTACCTCTCCCTGAGTTGATGGTGTTTCTGCTGAGTATTTAGTCTGACAAATAACATCAGTCATCGACCGCACTGGTCCTCTTGGAATTCCGGGGAAGGATTTGCGACAGCTCTGAGCAAAATAACGATACACTTTCCAAGTTTTACCAAAATCATATGACCTTTCTATAAACATGGACTTTGGCCTGAATGTTTTAAATGTCATAATCAAGTGTGTAAAATGAAACTCTGCTTCAAGATCCAACTGAATTGAAACATTCTCAACACCATTTTCCGCCTGCCACCACCGATCTCGCCTATCTTTGAATGATGAGACAATGTTCTCGATACGGTGGCTGTTTTCGTGTACTCTCGACTGCCATGGCTCACGAGAGTCGCACTGAAAGCACTTTGTCCGCTTTTCTAGATATGACACAACACAGTATCTATCCGGTTTGACCATCCCGCATGTGGACGTCGCTCTTAGCTGCTTTCCTCGACCAATCAGAAGGTCTCCTGTTGCTGGGTAACAGCTGCCTTGTTCGCAATGACGCTGTCGTTGGGACTGACCCACAACATCTGCAAGAAGGGAGACAACACTTACATCAAATTATCACTACACACTGGTAACAAAAATGCTCAGATACAAAATTGTTTATCATGTTTATGTAGTACGTTTGCTTTTAACTCTGATAAAATCATGTCATATAACCTACTATAAACTCACAAAACAAATTCTTTCAATACCAAGATAGAATATTTTAAAAAAGCAAAAAAGCAAGCATAAATCGTAATACATTTTCAAAATGCATTTTTATTTCTTTATAAATTATTTTAACTTAGCCTTTATAGCAGTGGTATAAGTCAAATCAGTACAACCTTGATGCATCAACATGATCATTTTGCCATTCAAGAATCTAAATCAGACCTGAGTTATGATAGAACGACCACATAGGTGGAAGCTATGATTGTTATATTGTCCTTCACATTTCCCGAGGAGGCAATCTGACATACTGGTGTATAAGCCCGATGAGGCCATCTGACATACTGGTGTATAAGCCCGATGAGGCCATCTGACATACTGGTGTATAAGCCCAAGGACACCATATGACATACTGGTTTATAACCCCCAGGAGACCATCAGACATACTGGTGTATAACCCGGCCCAGAACACCATCTGACATACTGGTGTATAACCCCCAGAACACCATCTGACATACTGGTGTATAACCCCCAGAACACCATCTGACATACTGGTGTGTAACCCCCAGGATACCATCTGACATACTGGTTTATAACCCCTATTGACCTTCTGACATACAGGTGTATAACACACAATACACACACACCTCCCACACGTACACAGTTTCCCACACATGCACCTCCTCCCAACAACCTTGTCAGTGATCGCAGCAGCATCGTTTCAGGTAGGTAGCACAGGTAATTCTACAAACTGCTGTCTACATGGTCTGGTGATGCTAACGGGTCATACATGTACTCGCCTGTATGTTTGGTGAGGGTTTGTTACAACCATACATTAACAATAGCACTGCACCATGACTGTGGAATAAATGTATTTTATGAAAACTAAACCAATCTAGATTTGCATAAAAATAAGCCCAGCCAGCTCTATTCCACAGCATCAGGAACATTGTTGTTTTGAAATGTATAGTGTAATAAATGATTGCATAGACAAACTGTTCATCTAACATGGGCACTGCATACACTGATTTGTCATTTTAAAACACATAAATATGATAAATGTATGATCATATATTGATACACTAAAAAGAAAATACATTTTCTGTTTCTTGTCACTCGTCTAATTACTTTTTGTACTCTCTGAATATAAAAAAGTAAGTAATTTTGGAATTATGAATTCATGTTCCCAAGGGACATCAAGAAAAGGGTAAAAACCCTTTTTTGATCAGAATATATTCCAAGAAAGATGAATTTTGGATAACACCAAAATGGCTATTGGATCTTAAAAATAAATCATAAGGTAAAGCCAGTGGTTTACACACATTCCAATGATGACACATGGGCTCTGAGTAGGTTCAGTAATATGTATGTGCAAATATTTGCTTTAAAAGTTTCATTTTCTATACGGGTACATGTTCTTTGGCCTAAACTAGAAATCCAGTGAGTTGGTAATGGGTCTGAAATCTGACCTTAAAAGACGAATGAGTACATTGGTGAGGGTGGTACTCCAAACACAATACGTTTGCACAGAGGAGTGGTTTAAAAGTTAGTAAGTAGCTACACAGCTTAAAGCTTTGATCAATATCAAGGTGAGACACACCAGAAAGGGTTTTTTTTAGGAGTCGCTAACGGGGTTGGTTACAATGGTTACTTGTTAGTTTGATTTTGATGGGAATATTTGACAAATTGTTGTTTTTCAATCTAAAAAACAAATACAAAACAACTTTAATTTTTCAAGAATCATAATGTTGAACCTTTGTTAATGCATGTTCATTGTCTTTTTTTGTTTTAATTTAAGAGGAGAGAAATGTCATTTGTAATGAAAGATATCATGGACTATATGTTAATCTAGGTTCATGGATAACTAACCTCTTAACAAATCCTTATAAGAGGAGTGAGGTTATGGGCCGGGAAGGCAAAAATCAATCCCTCAGAGTTAGAAATTACGTTCGCCTTCCCGGTCATCACAAAAATTCTTATTATGGCAGATGATCGCCTTCCCGGTACTTGTTAATTACAAAGAAAACACCAATGAAATGAGGACACTATTTAATCTGGGCAACAAAGTCAATATATAACAAGTATAGTATAACATATCATATATCATGCATGTATTTGAAGATGTATATAGACATACATTTTATCATTTATGTAATAATTCAGTTCATTCCCAGTGCAGTAGATCTGCCACATCGTCAGTGTAGTCCACTGTTGTCGTCAATTGGTTCAACAGATCTTCTTTCAACATGTTCAAGGCACGGAGTCTAGCGTCAATCATTCTCTGAGTTCAATTTTAACAATTTTAGTAGACTATCTCTTTCTTTATTTTTCCGTCTCACGAGTTCAATGGAAGTTAGTAATCACATTCTCTGAGTTCAATTTGTTTTATCTCTTTCTTCACTTTTCCGTCTCACAACACCCCAGTGTCCTCAATGTATAAGTGTCCGTTGTATACATAACGAGGGTACACATCACTGATCTTTTCATTCGCCTTCCCGGTCCCCAGTCCCTTACCCCTCCATTCGCCTTTCCGGTACTACTGGTAAATAGATTTTCGACTTCCCGGCCCGACACCAGGAATGTTCTCATTTTGTAGAATCATGATAGTTACTCAAGTACTCCTTTCTTTAGGCCTTTAATCATGGCAATATTATAACATTATTGGGAATTTTCCTATCATCACTGCTCATCAAGCGCAAACACTGACCCTCCTGCAGTGAGCTGACGGATGGTGATATACCTAACACAACACCCCCACCCCCAACCCGTAATGACTTGTCCCCCACCCCCTGAAACTCCCTACACAACACTGTCCCGGATCTTGTGTACAACTGCTGCAGTGATATAATCCCTCACGCCGGAGAGCTAGCCACCCACTAGTCAACAGGACACGTCCCACACAAGCATGTCTGTCCCGTGACACGTAAATCACACCTACACATGGGTCTCAGCTACTACCCAAACTTGCTACAGCACATTACAATGGCAGTCTGATAGACATGCAATGTATTGTCGGTCATTGTACGGTAGCACATTACAATGGCAGTCTGATAGACATGCAATGTATTGTCGGTCATTGTACGGTAGCACATTACAATGGCAGTCTGATAGACATGGCAATGTATTGTCGGTCATTGTACGGTAGCACATTACAATGGCAGTCTGATAGACATGCAATGTATTGTCGGTCATTGTACGGTAGCACATTACAATGGCAGTCTGATAGACATGCAATGTATTGTCGGTCATTGTACGGTAGCACATTACAATGGCAGTCTGATAGACATGCAATGTATTGTCGGTCATTGTACGGTAGCACATTACAATGGCAGTCTGATAGACATGCAATGTATTGTCGGTCATTGTACGGTAGCACATTACAATGGCAGTCTGATAGACATGCAATGTATTGTCGGTCATTGTACGGTAGCACATTACAATGGCAGTCTGATAGACATGCAATGTATTGTCGGTCATTGTACGGTAGCACATTACAATGGCAGTCTGATAGACATGCAATGTATTGTCGGTCATTGTACGGTAGCACATTACAATGGCAGTCTGATAGACATGCAATGTATTGTCGGTCATTGTACGGTAGCACATTACAATGGCAGTCTGATAGACATGCAATGTATTGTCGGTCATTGTACGGTAGCACATTACAATGGCAGTCTGATAGACATGCAATGTATTGTCGGTCATTGTACGGTAGCACATTACAATGGCAGTCTGATAGACATGCAATGTATTGTCGGTCATTGTACGGTAGCACATTACAATGGCAGTCTGATAGACATGCAATGTATTGTCGGTCATTGTACGGTAGCACATTACAATGGCAGTCTGATAGACATGCAATGTATTGTCGGTCATTGTACGGTGTGAATGTCTAGTATATTAGTATTTGTACAGGGTGCAGGGTGAGATGGTTCATAGGGTGATACTTGTCCAGAGGGTGAGATAGTCCTCTGCAGGGTGATATACTCCTCTACAGGGTGAGATAGTTCATAGGGTGATACTTGTCCACAGGGTGAGATACTCCTCTACAGCATGAGAAACTCTTCTGCAGGGTCAGATACTTTCCTACTGGGTGAGAAACTCTCCTGCTGGGTGAGATACTCCACTGCAAGGTCAGATACTCTCCTGCTGGGTGAGATACTCCTCTGCAGGGTCAGATAATCTCCTGCTGGATGAGATACTCCTCTGCATTGTGAGAAACTCTCCTGCTGGATGAGATACTCCTCTGCAGTGTGAGAAACTCTCCTGCTGGGTGAGATACTCCTCTGCAGGGTCAGATACTCTCCTGCTGGGTGAGATATTCCTCTGCAGTGTGAGAAACTCTCCTGCTGGGTGAGATACTCCTCCTAAGTGTGAGAAACTCTCCTGCTGGATGAGATACTCCCCTGCAGGGTCAGATACTCTCCTGCTGGGTCAGATACTCTCCTGCTGGATGAGATGCTCTTCTGCAGGGTCAGATACTCTCCTGCTGGATGAGATGCTCCTCTGCAGGGTCAGATACTCTCCTGCTGGGTGAGATACTCCTCTGCAGTGTGAGAAACTCTCCTGCTGGGTGAGATGCTCCTCTGCAATGTGAGAAACTCTTCTGCTGGGTCAGATACTCTCCTGCTGGGTGAGATAGTTCATAGTGTGATACTTGTCCACAGGGTGAGAAACTCCTCTGCTGGGTCAGATACAAGTGTGCTACCAGCCCCAGCTGCAACCTCACCCTCATACAAGTGTTTATAGTTTATGAATCAATGTGTACGAGATGACAGACTAGAACTTCCTATGTTTACATCCCATACTTCAGACACACCATGAGGAACTAAAGATGGTTTCCATATACACGGCTTTCATTAAGACACACATGTTT